GACTGTACCCAAATATGTGACTGTATAATTTCTCAGTTGACTAATATGTATACCAAATTCAAAGTCAGAAACATTTAGATATGCAACATGATGAAGCAGCCACTGGGCATGTCTATATGAGACATTTACTGCGCAGTACACTAATTAACTACAGTAAATGTCTCAGCATCTACACATGTGCCTGTTAGGCTGGAATAAACTAATTTACTCTGCAGCAGGATAGTAGTTATGAATTGCACATGTAGAGACGGTTCATAACCTGTCTCTGAGGACAGGTACCCAATGCCCGTCTTCTAAACCAGGCTCAGAGCTAAGGTGGGAGCATGTGGTGGGACTGTCCCCTCCATACATTCATCTGACCAGACCTTAGAAATAAGATACATATTCCATGAAGTACATGAACTTCTGAAAGGGAGCCCAATGGTCTCTCACCTTAACCATGCTGATGTCTACAGGTCTGTTCTAAACCCATTACAAAAGTGACATAATCAAAGATTAGTATAAATTATTATAAATATTGGCTTTTGTGAGAATTACCAGAGGAAGACTTCCTCTAAAACAAAAAGGCAGTGCCAATTTAGTGACTTAACCCATGCTAAAATCTGGAGTATAAACCAAGAGGGTGTACTGTTGTGTTAGCAATAGTGAGCTCTGCTGTGAAGCTGAGCTAGGGGGAAAAGACTAAGGCTATCTGACCTGAGGTTCTTTAATTTCCTAATATTTCTAAGTTTGATGTGATGTTAAAGGAAAAATGTATTTTTAAAGGAAAATATGTATTTAAAAAATATGCATTAAAGAAAAATATTATTTTTTTCACCTCATTTTTATTTTTCTCATTAGGGAATCTCCAAAATCATAAAGAACATGGGGGGAAAAAAGGAATTCAGTCTTACCTTATCGTCAATATCACTCTCGCTGTCACACTGCAAATTGGAGAAAGAGAACAAAAAAGCTTCATCAAATATTTGTATTTAGATGAATTTCTTGCATTATTACTTAAATTCTTTAGAATAAGCTGCTTACATATATATTTGAATTGTCACAGAGAACACTAGTATTCTACATATTAATACATTTTAAATGATCAACCTAAACAAAAATATAAAGACAAAGCAGACTGGTATTTTTAATAAATAATACAAATGATGGTTGAATTAGATATTTGCACAACATGGACTTGAAAACAAATGAAGCAAACAGTGATGTATTACGAGAAGAACCAGATGTAACATGATATCTCAACAAAATCTTAGCTTCTCATCATCCAAAATAGTGGAAGTGAACAGAAACAGTTGTGTTTCGCCTCTGACTTGATAAACACTTTGTTGTTTAATGCAAAAACTGGTGAAGGTGGCCAGAGTTTTAATCAGATTAGTAGTCCCCATAATGGTGACTGAAATAGTTAAAAACATAATTAAATAATGTAGCTCTTTTCCCAAAATGAAAAGGAGTTTTATTTAGGCAGCTTTACAGTAAAATCCCTTCCAATCTCTGAAAATGGAATGGTCCATTTTCACAGCACAAGCGATGGCAAGATAGCGTGAGTTTTGAGTGCTTAAAAATGTCTGGTTCTCATTGGTCAGAGGTGAGAAAGATTTACAGTTGTAAGATGCAAATAAATTTCTTGGCAACCTCTATACACAGAACAAATGGCTAGCATGTGGTGGGGCATTCAACTGGAATTTTATTTCACCTTGAGTGGATATTGCAGCATACATTTGTCTAAACTGAAATCAGGCTGGGAATCCAGATTTTGAAGCATCCTACTGGGATAAATGATTTAATAAGGTGAGAAAGTATAGGACAAAGATGGTGGGTGGCAAATATGGTAACTCATCAGTGAGAAATCTGCATGTGGGTTTTCATAATATAACATAACAGATGGAAAATATTTGTTAGGTGATTTAATCCATCTCTTACTTTTGAATGAGGCAGAGCATGTCGATTTATACCAAAAATTCGTAGACTGTAAGGGCTGGAAGGCACCTCGCAAGATCATTGGGTCCAGCCTCCCTGCACTAGGTAGGAAAGACAACTGGGGTCAGGTGACCCCAGCGAGGTGACCGTCCAGTCTTCTTTTGAAGATTTCCAGGGTAGGCTCGCCTTGCAAGTCTCTGATCATGCGGCTCTTCTCTGGACTCTCTCAACCTTTTCCACATCCTTGTTCAAGTGTGGCACCCAAAACTGGGTGCAGTACTCCAGCTGTGGTCTCACCAATGCTGAGTAAAGTGGAAGAATCACTTGCCTGCTTTTGCTTGAGATGCATCGGTTGATGCATGCCAGAGTATTGTTTGCCTTGTTGGCTACAGCACCGCACTGATGGCTTATGTTCATAATACGGTCTACTATTACCCCAGGTCCCTTTTAGTTCCAATGCTAGTTAGTTTGGTGCCACCAAGCCTGTAAGTATTTTGGGGATTGTTCGTCCCCAGATGAAGTACTTTACACTTCTCAGTGTTGAACTTCATCTGGTTCTGATCCGCCCAACTTGTCAGCCTGTCTAGGTCCGCCGGTATCTGCAGCCTATCTTCGAGCGTGACCATGCTCCCCCATAACTTGGTGTCGTCCGCAAACTTGGCCAGTGAGCTCTTCACCCCAAACATCATAAAGTTCACTATGCTATGACACCCTTGTTTTTGGGCAGTTTGCTTTAGAACATACTTAATTTCTTCTTCCCTTTGACATGTGAAATGGTGGATCTCAAACACTACAGGGATCTTATGGTACTGTATTCTTTGATAAATATGGAACATGCAAAAAGCAGCAGCCTTATGGAGGTGTCAGTCACAATTCCATATTAAAGGTTGTCGCAAATTTTCAGTCTAAGCCTTAGTTTCATCTAATCTGTTGCACTGATGTTTCTTTCTGGAATTTTGTTGTGGCTCTTTCTTGTGGTCAAGAAGTTCTGTGCTGTAAATGTAAACTAGGCATAGGGAATACTTTCCAAGTTAAAAACGACCCCCGCCCTGTTCTTAAACTTATCCCGGGCTCTCCTGATTTTCAGCCACCTTTCACCGTGGAATGCAATGGTTCTAAACCAGAACGAACAATCAGTGTGTTCTGAAGAAAAATATAAAATCTGATACATGAAAGTTATTAAGCTGTCACTGCTGAATGAATCTCTCTCAAACCATGTGTGCACTAGAAAAAAGTTTTTCAGTAGACTTATAATGCAGAACTCTTCTAATGAAACAGTAATCTTTACTGACAAAACAGTCCTTTTGCCAGTAAACTTTAAACTTGTTTCCAGAGTAAAATAAAGCTATGACAGCAAAAGTGCTTTAATGCCTGTATAAGCACATCTACCCTAGGGCATCTGGTGGCAGAGGATGTTGGAAAAATCACCCACCTAAGCAAAACTTTGCATAGATGTGTGCTTAGTAATGTTCCTCACAGAGGTTTATGCATATATCATCAACAATGAAAATACACGGACCCCGAAAATACAAGGGCGCTTGTGGAGCTAAGGGCAGATGAGTCCTGAACTAGTCCTATGGACACATCTGACTGAAACTTGAATGAACTCTTAGTGGCCGAGTACCTTAGTATTTACAGCTTTATGTGCAGACATGGAAGAGATGTGAGCCACTTCTCTTAAATGGAAGTGATTCAACAGGATCAAATGCTACCAAGCTTTTGAGGATAACTTGGCAAACGAGCTTATCCCTGTTAGCCCACCAACTTTCACTTCTAAGCTGCTTCTATTTTAGTAAAGAAAGACCCCACACCAATACTTTGCTATATGTTTTCATGCCTTTAAGGGGCATGTACTCAGTTAACTTCTCACTGTTAACTACAATAGATGTTTTACTACTACAATACTGCAAGAATGAAGATTGAAAATTTCTGTGGTGCTGCAACAGCTGCACATCTTTTCACTCAAATTCTGGCAAGAAGCAACGCCAAAACTGCAACAGATGCAAAGCGGAACGATTCTGTTCCTTTCAAGGGCTGCGCCTGTAGTGCTAAATGCCATCAGCTAGGTTGTAATGCATTTGTACAACTCCAAATATCAGATTGTTTCAGAAATGCTAAACACATAGGGCCCACCTGTTGATTTGGAGCTGTGAGTTTCCAAAATGGCTGAAATTACCAGTTACAACAGGTTTATGAGAGTGCATTTTATGTATTTTTCAACCTATATTCCTCCCTAGCTCTTCCAGACACAGTGGGGCTCATCCTTCGCTGAAGAAAGCCATCAAAGATCCACACAGCTGTGACAGTTTACATCAGCTGAAGATTTCTCCCAACATTTTTATATTCAAGCAGAGAATGAGGAGGCCCAAATCTGGCTTCTTACTCACTTATATTTCTGCCTACACTACCTAGCTAGCGCATCAGCTCCCTGAAGCATTACCACCTTGCAGAAAGCCAAAGCGAATTGGACCAGTTTCATGTTAAACAGTGGGCCTGCCAGGGAGTGCTTTGCTGAACAGAGACCTACGAAACATCTAGGCCAGTGTTGTTTTCTACTTAGAAGCTGCTACTTTTCAGCACATTCAAACTTCACCAAAGGAGATGAGACCTTTGTGGAGACAGGCACTTAGCAAATACTTTCCAACATGCCGTACTTGTCTATCGTGAAAGATTTTTGCTTACTTTGCTGAGCTTTAGGCAAAGCATTAAACAAACAAATAAAAGAGGTTCTTGTCGCTTCTGGAGACTTGAGTTCCCCATTCATGCTTTAAAGTCAAAATTAAACATGATTTTGTTAAGACTCTCAACCCTCTCAGATACCTGCTGATTTCATAAAGACCCACATTATCAAGGTGTGTGCTATTAGCAATTTCTCCTTTAGAGAGATCCAGGACTGGAACAGAAGGGTTACTGGCACACGAGGGTTGAGATGTGTTGGCAGCCAGCTCTGTTTAGGTGAAGCTTCACCAAACACCTACTTGCACTTATGCCTGGCACAAGACAGCACTGACAAAGCAACACATTTATCAGAAACTTTATGGATAAAAAAAAGGAAAGGGGGATGCAATCAGGACAGAAAGATAATTACTATTTCTGTAAATACCCTATTAAAGGACTAGGAGCCTTTCATCGCCAACTGAGGAGTTGAAATTCAGCCTAGGTCAGTAGTCTGCAATAAATCTATGATTCTAGTCCAGTTCCTGTTGTGGGAGGTATCACAGTTGGCATCACAGTTTGTAGTGTCAGCAGGGATCAAACAAACCATGAAAACGGAAGGATCCTTTCATTCCTTGGGCAGTGTCTAGAGTCTGCTTCGGTTATAATTTTAACCGCTGACAATTAGATTCGTAGGTTTTAAAATAATCACTAGTATGATTATTTACTCTGACCTCTTGTGTAATACAGGCGAGAAAATTTCACCCTGTGGCTCCTGCAATGAACCCAAAGGCATGGGATCACACAGGAGCATGTCTTTTCAAAAGACACCTGCTGCTGATTTAAGGACTCCCAGTAGTGGATAAATGACTCGGCAGCTTCAATGGTGGCAGCAGCTGGCTGTGTCTGCTCATCTGGTCTTACTGGTGCTAGCTCTGGCACAGGCGGAGGAGTGGTGAAGGGTATTGTAGTCATCCTATGTTGTACTGGCTTTATAGATACATTTCGTGATCTTTCAAGCTGCCAACCTAGCACCTTATAATAACTTAAAAGTAACTCCTTAAATGTAATAAAATAATTTCAAGTAACTCTTGTTTATAAATTCTGTATCTGGATTTATAATATTTATAAAATATGAATCCCTGAGTTACTTAGCCAAAAAAGCTCTGATGTGCTGATTTATGCAAAAGGCTAATCAATGAAAATACAAGGAAAATTTAATTTACAATTTTTCCAAAATATGCCTTATAGCATATATGTTTGCCTGCTAGTCAGGATGAGATATTTCTTGGCATTACAATGGAGTAGTCAGAGTTTCTAAACATGGGAATTATGTATTTAAAAGCAGATT